TTGGCGCTCAGGGAACTTGGCTGAATGGCAATCAAAGAGCCGTCGACCGACAAGCAGTTGGCACGGGGCAAATAGGGAGCCGACAGCCATCTGGCCCAGCGCCGCAGGGCCGTTGGCGATCATGCTCTTCTGCATCCAAGCAGGGCTCCTGGCGGGCAAAATTTGAGGGGCATCAACAACTGATGTGTGGCCTTCATCCGCCAGAAAAGAAAACTTGCTGGTGCTCCGTACGGAATGAGGGAATGAACCCACAGGTGCCCTTAAAGGAAACCACAAGGGATGGTTTATAGGGGTCATTCCCTCCTTCCCTGCTGAGCACCAGCAAGAAAACAAATGCGGCTGGTATCCGCTCTCACCTTCTCCCCATTTCCCCCTTGCCCCCTTCCAGCCAAGTGATCCATCATCTATATCTAACTGGAATTATCTTAATCCTATCATTCACTCAGGTCACTCCTTCTCCATTTTACCTCCATTCGTTTAACTGGAAATTAAAGGGAGATTGGAGGATAGAATGTCACTCATCTCCCTGTATCCTTCACCTCATCACTCATTTGCGGGTGATAAAGGAGGTGAGAAGGGAGAAAGGAAAAAGAGATGAGGAGGACTATTTATTATTTGTACAGCTTGCTCTATCAGTCTATCACTTAAGAAATGGCCGGCATAAATCTCCTTCCCTCTCACGCTTCAAGCTTCGCACGCTCCACGCTCCTCATCCCCTCCCCAGCCCCAGCCCCTGAGCTCCACACTCCGCATGCTTCAGCGCCGTCTGCATGGTAAGCTTGGATTCGCCTATAGGGCCCCCAAGTCAAGAGCTCATGCCGGTCCGGGCAGGTCCAAGCAAAGGAAGAACATCGGCCTTGAAGGCACCTGCTCGTGACCTTCTGCCCCAGGTCGCTCAAGTCTTTCACCTGCGAAGCTGAGCGTCGATTGCTGGCGTAACCTGTTGTTTCACGGAACCCGCTGCAAGATCCCTTCGGCTGATGCTGAAAGGCGCTGGCCAATTGTGGGTGCACCCCAGCATATTGCTACTCGGAAACACCAAGCACCGGATCTACATCCAGGCCCCTCCTGCTTCGCCAGCTGCGCTGCCATAGCCGCGCCCTGAGCTACTTGCATCAAAAGGATTGTGCTTGGGTCATAGTAGGGGACTCGTGAAAGCGGTTGGTTTCCGGTTGGTTCGCTTTGAAACCAACCCAAAAGGAGTCCTTACTCATGTAACTGCAAATTCCAAGCTAGCTCCCCCCGACTTCAATGTCCGGACAACTTTCTGAGGTTCCGGCCCCCATCATCTGCATCTGGCATGCGCATGCTAAGTGCATATCAGCACCAATTAACAGCCACCAATGTGCCCTCAGCAATATACTGTTGCAGGTAAAGACTAGACACTGGAACGTGTCAGTTTGCTGTTGCCTTGCTAGTTTCTGAGACACAGACAGGGTCGGGCCCGCCACCTCAATCAAATTCAATGCATACTGCACGAGAGGCACCGTTTAGAGCATCTTGATAAAAATAGCGCAACAGCGCGGCAAACTGAGGGTTGCCCTAGGGGCGCCGCCCATGCCGCCCGGCATGCCGCCCATGCCGCCCATGCCGCCCATGCCGCCAAATTGCAGCCGCCGTCCCTACAACAAGCGCATAGCCAGAAAAAGAAAAGCGTGTTGGCTGGCGGCTGATTGGTTGCCGAGTCAGAGCAACTGCAGCCAACATGCCTGAGCCCAGTTGAACATGTTGAGCGCCGTATTTGCCTCAGTGCTTACATGAAGCTAAGCCAAGGGTGGTCAAGGACTTGCATCTGCTCAGCTGTCTCATTGCAGTGGCCACAGTGTCCTCACAAAAAGACCCGTACCTTTCCTCACGGCAATACATGCGAGCGTGCAAGCACGTTTGCACCACATTGAGTACAACATGGCGAAACATGACTCAACCTACGCATGCCTGCCTGCATGCGTGCCTGGCTGGGTGAGTGGGCGGTGGGCCCGTGAGCGAATGCGCGATCGCGGACTGTGCCCCGTGGATGGGGATGGCATGTGTGCGCAGTGTGCGCAGTGCTGCCTGGAAGCGCCGGAGACCACAGTGCTGCCGATGTGCTGTTTGGAAGATGTTTGGGAAGGTGCGCGACTCAAGCGAGTGACCCTCTCGGCTGCAGGCGTTCTGCGACACTGGGGGAGGGCTCGGCACCGGAGGCGGTGCAGAGTTGCTGTCCTGGCAGTAAGACTCATGAGCAAAATCCAATGCACCGCAAGAACCGAAAATCGAATGAGGATGTGTTTTGTTTCAATGAACGAGCTTCCAAATCCACGTTTAAGCTACACACAACTCCGCCGCAAGACCAGATCTGGCCTGAGGCAGGGGTCCCAGTGCTTAACGAATGGGCAGGGAAAAGGAGGCAATGAGAGCACGGTGTTGCAGTCCTTTAGACTGTGAACGAACACAAGACCTTTCTGGACAGGGATGGCAAAGTGGGGCTCAAAACAAATGACCATGGCGCACGAATTCCACTATTTATTTATTTTTCGTGAGGGTACCTTTCTTGTTGCTCTTGAGAAAGGGAAACCAAGACGAATACGCCTGTTGGATGAACAATGCACTTTGGACATTGAAATCAACGAGCTGGATTCCAAATGCAAACAAGTATCAGGTACCCTGCTTGCGCCCTCTCGAAGCAGCTAGCTCTCATGAGGAGGTCAAGCCCCTTTTTTCATTTTTGCTCGTCTGCACCAATGAAACACGATACTTGCTAGTCAAAACCTGCAAACGCTGGCTCACCAGCTAGAATTCCCCGCTTCTGTTGTGACCTCTTTGGCCCAAACATGACAGTTGCGCTTCAAAAGACCTTTCAACCAGCGGCGGTTGACTAAATTAGTATTATATATTTTTACGCACATGTCCGCACACAAACACGCGTGGACACACACATGCAGATACCTTGAAGCAAAGGCGAGAAGACAGAGAGATGGATAGCGATTTCACTTGTGTCCTTGCAGCTGGTCATCTCCCTTTCTTCTTTCTTCGACGCAGACACTTGTTTCTGAAATTGCCATGGGTTCAAACAAGATTGAAACACACGTCACATAGCAAAAATGAGGTCCGCTTTGACGGACTTCCCAGAATTCTCGGACCAAGGCTGTGAAATGCATATCAAGTAGGTGGATCCATTTGAACGTTGCTCTGCGCGACGGAAAGTGGCCTGCCATATCCCGAACAGCTTATCGACAGTCGAATTGAACGCACAATGACTTCTCAACAGGCGACAAGGCTCCAGGTGCCTGCCCGAAGAACCCACCGAACATCTGGCTCAGCGGGTTATCATCCTTCTGTGGCTGAGCCTGCGCCTGCCGGAACAAGCCAACGCCGAAGCCCTGTCTTGGGGCCTGCCCCTTCTCCCAATTTCTGCCTGGCCGCCAGTGAGGCCGTTCATCATCGAATCGAACGGGTTGGAGGACTTCTGAGCGGGGGCCGATCCCTGGCACAGCGGGGCTGGGCCCCCTTGTACCAGTCGATGGCATCGAGCATTGTATAACGCCAAATCATGGGTCAGAAAGAGTGAATGCTACTCACCTTTAGAACAACATTCTGTGTTGTCCTTTGGGTTTTGGTCTCCAATGAGTCAAGTCACAAATGCAAATCATACCTTCCAAGGTGCGGGTGCCTGCTGGCCATTCATGATACGAGCCAGGGGGTTGTCGGCCTCTGCATCCATGCACCGACAAGAACTCAAGCAGACACGGCGAGTACGCCTGCCTGCCCGGAAGGCGACTGCCTGGCAACAAGAAAAGAGAACCAAGGACACGGGCCACAAAGGTTTTTGTCAAGTCGGGCTAGCAATCAACTCGATCACCCAATGGACCAATGCCACTGACCGCATTCCAACCTCTACCTGTCCACAGCTTGAGTAGACATGCTGGCACTGCCCAATGTTTGAGAAAGTCATCATCTGCTCGCCGATCATGACGATATTCTGCGCAACCTTGAGAGCGCACTCGAAACAGAATTCCGGCAGTGCTATGCTTCGCCATGGCTATGGCGGCCATTCGCTCGGCGCCGTGCGGCTTTTCACTCCGCTCAGAGGTGTTGACTATGTATACGCACCAATCAACTCCAAAACTCGATTTGCGATTCAAGAGCCGGACCGCTGCCGCTTCGCCTTGGAAGGACTCTCTCAACCAGTACCAGGCAGCAAGACAAGGAATTCTGCCTTTCAAAAGATAACGTGAGCCTCATGTCTCTGCTGACCAGCAAGCCAGCCAGCCAGCCAGCCAGCCAACCAGCCAGCAAACCAGCCAGCAAACCAGCCAGCAAACCAGCCAGCAAACCAGCCAGCAAACCAGCCAGCAAACCAGCCAGCAAACCAGCCAGCAAACCAGCCAGCCAGAGCAGGCCCTATTTGGTGATGTCATAAGAAAGCGAACAACGTGTGCGCTGGAGATGCACTTACTTGAGACGCTTGTTTCAGAGTGAACCAACCGCTCATTGAAAGTAGAGGGAAGAAACGAAGCCCTTTGCCTACGAAGCAAGCTGGGCCCACCAGCCGCCCAATGCAGCGCTGCCCTGGTCCAAGCATTGCTGCTCGCCTGCGGATTGAGCTGGCAACCCTCTTCGCCAAGAAACGCATGTAAGCAAAGATGTGTACTTTGCAGACTCTCTGATGCCTTGCATCACCTTCCACACACGCACAGATTCTCTGAGGTTGGAACTCGTTGACAACCTTGTGTTTGCGTAGAATGAGTGGAGCATTCCTGCAGCTGAACAATGCTTTGGCATGGGAAGGGTTCTAAAAGACTCTTTGGGGATGGTCAATTCAGTTCCCCTGCAATATATGCTTGACTATTGCATATCTGATAAATTCCTCAATCTGGAACTTGGCTAGAGGCATGCGCTCTTGCTTCATGTCAAAATGGGAGAAGCGAAACAACGCTAAGTGCAATGCAAACGAGTGTTTCTAAAACAGAGGACCCGTGAAGGATATTTCAAAAGGGTTCCCTTGCAAACTGATCTAGAACAAATTACACTCAAGAAACACCCGCATGGAAAACTCAGCTCTGACAACCCAATGAACGAACAGCTCGAGCCTTGCAGGATCTGTCCGCCGTTCTGACGATGGCAATAAGTCAACTCTCTCTCTCTCTCTCTCCCTAGTGGGGATATTTGGATGGGTCGTCCTTAGTGTGACACATCCCCAATTCAAATTGCCGCCTGGCTGCCAAGTGTTGGGTGGATGCAGGTTTGAGGAGTATGTCGAAAGCATAGCACCCTTTGCGACTGCAGAAGTACAAGCTCTTCTTTCCTTCTAAGATCAAACTAATTCAGACAACACCTTTGCTACTGCCTGTTGCCTCCAAGAGTGTATGAACATTCTGCCAGCCTGTGGTGTTACAGCGAAGCCCTCTTGCCTCGGCAAGCTAAGCGTCCCTCTTCGAGCCGCGGGACCCAAGAAACTTGAGCCCGTGAAGTGTCCGTGCGCCATGCAGATAACAAACCCAAAACAAAATCTTCCAAAATTCGCCGCTCATCCCAAATCAAGTCACTTCTTCCTTGTGCCAAGTCACTTTTTCTGCGGCGTTGCACCGAAGCTGCTGAACGGGTCATCGCCGAAAGGGCTATCACCTTGCGCAAATCGATAGCTCCATAACGATCTGGAGCGGCATGACGCGCACTTCCACTGAAAGACCAATCCGTTCCGAGCACGAGAAGGTCGTATGTGTCTAGATCACTCAGACCAATCTGAGGAAGGAGCCAAAGGGATCCGCGCCTGCTCCTGTGCCGCGACGGAGCATATTGTGAGAAAACACCATGTCCAAAGAACATAAGAGCATCGAGTGATCAAACCTGTTCAGCTGCCAACCTGCCAAGGTCCTTGCTATGTGAACTGACACTTGCCCCCTCTAGACAGAACGCCAATGGGCATGATCAGAAGATGGCCAACTGTCACTGCTCAAACTGTCAAGCAACCACCTAGCAATCCGCGTCTCAAGTCACTGTTTGCTGCGCCTGGTGGCGGCTGCGGGTTCCCGCCCGGCTGCACCATGTTGTTTCCAGCCTGCCATGTCACTTGTGGAACCGCACACCCACCAGAGTTGCGGCAACTCATTCTGTCTTCCTTGGTGGCCTTCACAACAGCAGTTCAACATTTCACATGTTTAGAACCCTGCCCCTGCTTGCTCCTGCGAGCGGGCCACTTTGTAGTTCCCCACAATCCGCCAAAGGTGTTCTCCCTCATTTTCCCCAATCGATGGCGTCCTCCCCTACATTCTCCCCAGATGCCTGCACAACAAGGGAAACGTGCAATATGGTGCCAACTGCTTGTTGCGAGAAAAAGTTTCATGGCAGCTGGAAGCGCCTGATTCCACATGTTGGTCATCTGCCCGATGGGGCTGTTGCTACTCAGCAGGCATCGATGCAGTTCGCTGTGAGAGCTTCCATGACCAAGCAGCCAAAGCTGCAGCAAACGCTTGTTTGCGATGTTGACATGAAACCAGCATGTTGCATGGCTCTCTCAATCAGATCCAGCATCTCAGTTCTTTTCGCATGAACCCCGCATAGACACATCCTTCAGCTCACGTGGCGTGACTCTGAGGAAGAGACACACCGTTGCCCGACATCTGCACATTGCCAAAACTGAAGTCCAGCCTCCGCTCCTGGCGCTCTCGGGCTGCTTCGCTGGGACCCCCCACAAACTGGACGAGCCAAGCTCTGATGCGTACAGCAAGAGTCGAAACAAGCTCATGAACAACCTCAGAAGCTACCCAAATGACCAGCTGAGCAATTATTCTTGAATCATATCAATGTTCCATCCATGAAATCCCCTTGATAGCCTGGTCATCCAGCTCTGGCTGGCCATGTTCCCTCCCGGCTCTCGCGACTCTCGTGTTTCTCGCCTGCGCAGCCGCAAGCACAGCCTCAGTAACCGCCCCGGGCCTACCCATTACACACGATCCGGCCGAACAGCCAGCTGCCAGCATCTTGACCACCCCTAGCGCACGAACACGCCTCAACCTCCCCCGTCCACTCGGGCCATCCGGCCAAGCACAGCAGGCGCAGCACCATGGCCTTGGGGTGACGATCTACACGCTTTCTGGGTTACCGCCGAAACAAGGAGATGCACTTACAATTTAGGGTCCCTAAACGCTTTTACTTTTTGGCTTCTCGACTTCAGAGCCCGCAACTCGAAGACAATCGCACACATGCTTGCTCACCAAGAAAGTGAGAAGAACATAACGAACACCTGTCCGACAAAAGGCAGGCCTAACAAACATGGGCAAAGGCGCTCCGAGACCAATCTCTGAGCACAACGAATCTACAATTCAAAAGCTGCCATCTTCTGCACGTTGTATATAGATAGCAAAAAGCTCAGCGTCTGACGATCACAAGCGCGTCGCTGAGCGCGTCTTGAGCACTGCGTGCCCTTTATCACAGGCCCACGTCTTGAATTTGTTGACTGGAAAAACTCCACAGCCTTGACAGGTGACAGCGATCCCTCACAAGGCAAACACAGAAACGCGT